AAGAATTGATAAAAATTTAATGGAGTATATAGATAAAAGGTAACGTAATATGACAAAAATAATTTATTTCTCATGGAATACCCAGGGTTTGACATCAATATATACAGTCAGGGGAATTACTTAAATGAGTGATTAAAAATCCCTGATTCAAGTAAAATTTTTCCAGAAATGTTGGAAGTAAGAGTTGTCTTTCTTTAATAATTACCTATTTAAGTAGTACAAATAAATCACTAGACTAAGTTATTTAATTTTATTGTAGCTTTAAATATATAATACTAATGATCCAGGGACTAATCATGTTGCTAAGATTTTCAGAATTTTACCAACATCAGTGTTTATAGGATGACTGGTCATGTCAGGTGATGACCTTGTACTGAATCTGGGATAATGATATGAAAATCACTTGTTTAAGTATCATACCTCTAGTTTCTTAAAAAAAGTTTTCTTTAAGTATTATTATTTTAATTACCCCCACTAATTTCAACACCCCCGAACAGTGAAATTTTGGTTGCGAACAGTAAAATTTTATTACATAATCTGTAAGATGAAACCTTAAATTTTACAGGAAAAATACTCCTATTGCTTGGAAAAATCTGTTAAGAAATTATTAGATCATTATGTCAAGCTTCATTACCGTTAAAAGGCTTGTATAGTCTGTGGTTTTATTCTCCAAAATTGAATCTGCCAGACAGGGGTGCGGACTATAGAGTACAATAAGCAAGAAATAAGAGAAAAAATTTGATATCGCGAGGTGGTTTGTTTATGTTCCACCATGTTTGTTATTGATATTGTAGAGGGCGTTCTTACCATTTTCAAAACTAATAATTTCACCTAATTAATATTTATAAGTTATTTTTATTCAATATCAAATTAATACTGATAAAAATAAAAATTAAATGCTTCATTACAAATTTCTTGTTTCTTTTCACTGCATTGCTTAAAATAAACTGGAATCTGCTTGAATGAAAACGGAACAAAAAAGTCAACCGTAAACCAGCTTACGATGTATAAACTACAAAACGTAATCGGTTATTATTCGTTCCGTTTTGGTGTTTCATACTGACGAATATGTTTTGTATTAGTTTAAGACCCTTCAAACATTAATGTTATAGATTTATTAAACATTTTTTTACACAAGGATGGAACTGTTTTACTTTCAAAGTCGTATTATAGTGATATCTATTAAGTACGGATTTCGACTCTCACCGTTTTAATTCTCTTTTACACGTGCTATTCAAACTTCCGGTTTAAACATACACAAACTTCTAAATTGTTTTTTGGGTGATTTTGACTTATTTTAACAATCGTGAAGTGTTCTAGAATCATTTACAAGCAGTTTCAACTTCTGTTTGATGATGGAAAACGGGTTTTTCCATGAAAATACCACAAACGACCACACACAATTTGAAGTTACCGGAGTTTCATTAGACATTTTCTAACAGTTACAAAAAGTTTTTTTACCTGAAATTTTGTGGGGAGAAGGGGGTGCGGACAATGTACCAATGCAAATTATACAAGCCCGATTACGGTATAGCATTTTTTTCCACAAATATAGAATTTACAGATGAATGATTGCATCAAAGGCATAAACCTTGCTATTTAAAAGAAGCAAAAGGTTCATTCTTTTCAATTTTACTAATAGTTAGATATAATCTAAACCTGTATGTTTAAAATTTTGATAAAACTGCAAAACTACAGAATTTCTAATTTGCTACTTAAATGAGTGATTAAAAAATCACTTATTTTAGTAATTTCCCTGACTGATATATATATCATGCATATATGTGTGTAAGTTGACCTATTAATGTATATACATTTCACCATTCCTTATAGCGCTTGTGTGATAATGATTTTTCTTTTCGCGAACGGGTAAAACCCAGATGATTGCACATTGCTCATAGAAGATATGAGTACAAGATATTGTCCTAGTTGAAACGAGGGTTTTTATTATCAGCTTTTGAGTGAAACAGGGGTTTGTTGACACATAAAGCTTTGTGAAATTTCCTGGTTTTAACAAAAAAATTTCTAGCCCCATTGGACTCCATACTGTGATGAAAACTTAACTAGCCCTCCCTAATTTTTACAAGCCTTGGGTGTTGAACCCTGATCCCACTAGATCTCTTTTAAAAAAAGTCGATCTGCCACCATTATAGAACTTGTCCGAGATATTGCTGATATTAACCTTTAGTATAAGTTTTATAAAAATCTAACATGAATTGTACCTGTGAGATCCCTAACAAGACCAGACGGACACACGGACGAATGACCGGTGTTTATTTGTCCCCCTCAACGCGTTGCTCAGGGGAAAATAATGTTCTGTGTAGCTTTGAAGTAAGATAGGTAATCAAGGTAATGATGAGCACAGAATATCTCATGCAAGCGATTTTTTGGTAATAACTTTTTTGAGGCCATAGCAATCCCTTCTTCTAAAAGATTTTATACTTTATCAAAAAATCAATAATTACAATTATATAAGCAGCATACATAATTTGTGTTTGTACCATCCCCTAGCCAGGGGTTCAAGAAGTTGAGATAAAAATAAACTGTTATCACAGATATGTCTCTCCTTTTTGTAATTTTGATAATGCAAAAGTTGAAATTAAAATTGCAATACATTAAGTAATGCAAATATTCAAAGTCGATGAACCATGACTGAAGGTACATGGCTCAACAATCTCCTTGGAATGAGATGTGCCAATGCTAATACAACTACATACCAAATACAATTGACTTATTATAAGTCATTCCCTTTAAACAAACCTAAACACAAACATTAACTTGTAAACTATGTAAAAGTTTCAAAGTCAATGAACCATGATCAGGGGTGGGGCTATATAATCTCCATAGAAAAGATACTTGCAAATGCCAATAAATTTGCATATCAAATATCAATGACTTAACATTAGCAGTTCATCTTAAACTGATCTAATTACAAACTAATACATGTAAACTAAGCAAAAGTTTCAAAGTAAATAGACCATGACTGAGGGGGCGGGGCCAAATAATCTCCATGGAAATGAGATGTGCTAATGCTTATACAACTGAACACCAATTAACATTGGCCTACCACTAATGGTTCCCCTTGAACTGATAATCACAAACTAGTACATGTAAACTTAGCAAAATTTTCAAAGTCTATAGACCATGACTAATGGGACGGAGCCAAATAATCTCAATGGAAATGAGATATGCCCATGCTTATACAACTGCATACCATATATCAGTGACCTACCACTAGTGGTTCCCCATAAATTGACCTAATCACAAACTAATACATGTTAACTATGAAATGTTTCAAAGTCAATAGACCTTGACTGAGGGGGCGGGGCCAAATAATCTCCATGGTAATGAGATGTGCCAATGCTAATACAACTGCATACCAAATATCATTGACCTACCACTAGTGGTTCACCATGAACTAGACCTAATCACAAACTAATACATTGTTGACGCCGACGCCGCCGGAACCAGCATACCTATGTCTCGCTTTTTGACTCCGTCAAGGCGAGACAAAAACCTCTGAAATAAAAAAAAAAAGTACTGGAAAAGACCATGTAATTGAGAATCAGCTTGAACTTGACTATTTAAGTCAAAGTTCCATGACCCAAATAACCCACTCAGAGACATCCCGACTTCAGGCCTGTTTCCTTAACAAATGTGCACATGCTGAATGTCTCGCTGCTTTACTGACTTTATGTCTTAAAGATATAGTTTAACTTCAAATATAACATCAAAAGATGAACCAAGTCAGACAAGTGAGCTAAAAAGCGTTAATATTTGTCAATTAAAAAGAAATGTAATTAAATTATAAAAAATTATAGTACTTTTCTGTTCAGTTAATTAGCAAGTTGGTTCAAAATGGCCATTAACCAAGTCTCAGATTTGAATAAGCCAATCAGATGCTTTTGAGTTAAAGTTGAAAATTCATAGGGAATCTTTACCGAAAATCAATAAGTTCCCTATTCTTGAAAAATTGGAAAACAATTATCCACGCAGGTATGTAACTTCAATTTATACACAATCATTCTGTGAAGTTTCAAAGATCTGGATTGAGAACTGTAGGAGTTGATTACACAAAATTGGTATCGTCTTTTGTAAATTTTGATGAAAAATGACTAAGCTCACAAGTTAGGAAAAACAGAAAAATTCCTCAGACAGTTCAATATTAGCAGATGCACAAAAAACCATGTGTGCAATCTTTCTTTAAGTATCAGGGATATGGATCCTACAGATGATCATGTTCGCCTTAAAATCATTCCTTACACAAATTATAGTTGTCCGGGTGTGGGAGTTTCTCGCTGCATTGAAGACCCATTGGTGGCCTTCGGCTGTTGTCTGCTCTATGGTCGGGTTGTAGTTTCTTTGACACATTCCCGATTTCCATTCTCAATTTTATTGACCTATTGCTTATAGAATCTGAAAAGCAAACCTCATCACAAAAACTTAACATTGATCACTAATCCCTGAAATGAGTTAAAGGTCAGGTGCCTTGTCTGACTGACATGTTTTTCTTTGTAATGATTCTAAACACCAAATATAGTTATCCTATTACATGTACTCAAATAGACTGAAACATGAGGCTCCTAAGAGACTGAATCGCCCATCTGTCAAAATTATATTTATTGGTAACTTTTTCTGTTACAGCACAGTTTATACCGATCTATTAAGTTTCAATATAATAGGCAATAAAATGCTCTGCTGGGCACAGCTTGATACGACCACAGAGGTTGATCCCTGAATAGTTGGGGCAAGTATGGACACTACATTGTACATACAAGCTTGATACAGCTCTGAAAATTTGGATTGTGGTATTTGGCATAGCATAGGTTTCTGACAGAGAATGATTGTGGTATAAGAACTTAAATAAAATGCTCCGCAGGGCGCAGCTTGATACGACCGCAGAGGTCGAACCCTGAACAGTTAGGGTAAGTATGGACACAACATTCAAGCTTGATACAGCTTTGCATTTGGATTGTGATTAAATATTTGACACAGCATAGGTTTCTGACACAGAATGAATGTGGTCTAAGAACTTAAAAATTTTAAATTGGACATTCACCTATTATGGTCCAATATCCAAAATCTAAATACATGGTTAGATTCAGCATATCAAAGAACCCCAAGAATTCAATTTTTGATGAAATCAAACAAAGTTTAATTTTGGACCCTTTTGACCTCAATGTGGACAAAGTTGATAACGGGGCCCAAAAATCAAAAATCTAAATACATGCTTAGATTCAGCATAACAAAGAACCCCATATATATTTAATTTTTGTTGAAATCAAACAAAGTTTAATTTTGGACCCCGATTTGGACCAACTTGAAAACTGGGCCCATAATCAAAAGTCTAAATACATGTTTAGATTCAGCATATCAAAGAACCCTAAGAATACAATTTTTGTTAAAATCAAACTAAGTTTAATTTTGGACCCTTTGGACCTTAATGCAGACCAATTTGAAAACAGAACCAATAAAATGTTTCGCTGGGCACAGCTTGATACGACCACAGAGGTCGAACCCTGAACAGTTGGGGCAAGTATGGACACAACATTCAAGCTTGATACAGCTCTGAATTTGGATTGTGATTAAATATTTGACACAGCATAGGTTTCTGACACAGAAAGAATGTGGTCTAAGAACTTGAATTTTTTTAATTTACTTATTATGGTCCAATATCTAAAATCAAAATACATGGTTAGATTCAGCATATCAAAGAACCCCATATATTCAATTTTTGTTGAAATCAAACAAAGTTTAATTTTGGACCCCAACTTGGACAAACTTGAAAACTGGGTCCATAATAAAAAATCTAAACACATGTTTAGATTCAGCATATCAAAGAACCCCAAGAATTCAATTTTTGTTAAAATCAAACTAAGTTTAATTTTGGACCCTTTGGACCTTAATGTAGACCAATTTAAAAAACGAGACACAAAATTAAAAATCTAAATACACAGTTAGATGTAGAATATCAAAGAACCCCAATAATTCAATTTTTGATGAAATCAAACAAAGTTTAATTTTGGACCCTTTTGACCTCAATATGAACCAATTTGATAGCGGGGCTCACAAATAAAAAATCTAAATACATGGTTAGATTCAGCATATCAAAGAACCCCATATATTCAATTTTTGTTGAAATCAAAAAAAGTTTAATTTTGGACCCCAACTTGGACCAACTTGAAAACTGGGCCCATAATAAAAAATCTAAACACATGTTTAGATTCAGCATATCAAAGAAATCCAAGAATTCAATTTTTGTTAAAATCAAACTAAGTTTAATTTTGGACCCTTTGGACCTTAATGTAGACCAATTTAAATAAAATGCTCCGCAGGGCGCAGCTTTATACGACCGCAGAGGTCGAACCCTGAACAGTTGGGGCAAGTATGGACACAACATTCAAGCTTGATACAGCTTTGCATTTGGATTGTGATTAAATATTTGTCACAGCATAGGTTTCTGACACAGAATGAATGTGGTCTAAGAACTTAAAAATTTTAAATTGGACATTCACCTATTATGGTCCAATATCCAAAATCTAAATACATGGTTAGATTCAGCATATCAAAGAACCCCAAGAATTCAATTTTTGATGAAATCAAACAAAGTTTAATTTTGGACCCTTTTGACCTCAATGTGGACAAAGTTGATAACGGGGCCCAAAAATCAAAAATCTAAATACATGGTTAGATTCAGCATATCAAAGAACCCCATATATTCAATTTTTGTTGAAATCAAACAAAGTTTAATTTTGGACCCCGATTTGGACCAACTTGAAAACTGGGCCCATAATCAAAAATCTAAATACATGTTTAGATTCAGCATATCAAAGAACCCTAAGAATTCAATTTTTGTTCAAATCAAACTAAGTTTAATTTTGGACCCTTTGGACCTTTATGTAGACCAATTTGAAAATGGAACGAAAAATTAAGAATCCAAATACATGGTTAGATTCGGCATATCAAAGAACCCCAATAATTCAATTTTTGATGAAATCAAACAAAGTTTAATTTTGGACCCTTTGGACCTCAATGTGGACCAATTTAAAAACGGGGCCCAAAATCCAAAAACTAAATACACGGTTAGATTCAGCATATTAAAGAACCCCAAGAATTCAAGAATAAAACCCAATTGAAATTGATCAAGCAATTTATACGAAGTATCTTCTTTTGCACAATACTGTGCAATTAAATATTTCTTGCTATTGCGCAATACTGTACAATTGACAATTTCTTGCTATTGCGCAATATTGTGCTATTGGATATTTCTTGCTATTGCACAATACTGTGCAATTGAAGATTTCTTGCTATTGCGCAATACTGTGCAATTGAAGATTTCTTGCTATTGCGCAATACTGTGCAATTGAAGATTTCTTGCTATTGTGCAATACTGTGCAATTGAAAATTTCTTGCTATTGCACAATACTTATTATATAATAATTTACACATCCTGTTTGGTGTGTATCTCCTACCATATCATTATCATTTGCTTTTAAATATAAATCAGAAATAACCAACTTAAAATGGAAAATTTTAAAAGAAAAAAAAAAAGGAAAAAAAGAAAAAAAAGGAAAAAAAAAAAATCCCCCCCCAAATTTTTTTAAACCCCCTTATGATTCATCACCCCCAAACTCAATCCCAGCCTTCCCTTTGTGGTCAGGCCATTCATTAGGAGGCGGTACCCGGTACTTTTACCCTCCTATGCTACTGATAAGTACCGCCTGAATTCAGAAATTTTTATATAAGATGTTCATTGAGTATATTGAAAAGTACTGTTCCTACTCGCTTATTAGTCGGAAAATTGGGAGTAAAATTCATAATCCAGAGAGGGGGACCAACTTATAGACGAGATCTAGCGACCAGAGGAAAAATCCAAGCTTGAGAAAAGTGGTCAGGAGTGAATTTCCTGGTCAAAACTACGTTTTTGATTGCCAAACCTACATAAATCAATAAATAAAAAGTTTTTGTTGAAAATAAATGACTACAATACTGTCTTTGTGTTTTATTTGTTCTTTGGTAAACATTTTCTGCAAATTCGTGTTGAAATTCTACTGTTTCGGTTTGTGTATTGATTTTCATGGTCACATAGTTTTCCTATAAACCCAAAAGAAGAGCCAAGAACCAAAAATGAAAAGGAGATAACAATGTACCAAATATGTGAAAGGATGTTTTCAGCGGAGTTATTGTGTCATTATTGTGATATCATGATATCAATTCAATGCTTATAAATCATATAATAATCAAAAAATAATTTTAAGATTCATTCCCAAGATCAAAATATTATTCATTAAAGTGTCTAAGGTAAACAAAAATTACAAAATTGATTGACAAGCCAATATAATCCATTGCTAACCCCAATTAAGAGACAAAGAGTTGTATTTACTAAAGGTGTGAAAACTATCAGTGATAGATAAACAGATGACACTAATGAGTTGGAGTTAGTTATTTTAATATATTGATTAGCTTCACTTAATTTTTTTAATCCTTTAATCTTCACAATATAATAAGAATTATGAAGTGTACATGATCATTTAACACCGAGTTATGTATGCTGTGAAAAATATTTTCATCAAGTGTTGATTGACTTTAAATTTTTCAGGATCATATTGGTTTATATTCGCTTTTCTCAAACAATAGGTTGTTAGTCATACCCTACAAAATCATTGATGCATTACGTAAACAACACATGGCTAATCAAACATTTGAACAGTGAACAAAACAAGAGAAATGAATACATCTTTATTATTAACAGCAATATAAATTATCATGATGAGCATCAACTAAATTCAAACCAAACAAACATTAATGCAGAAATGAATATTATTCCTGGATTTGCATTGGTTTTACCGGCGTTCAGTTACTGTCAGCTGAAAAAAAAAATGCCCAAATTTTGTCCGACTTATACGAGGGTCAAGACTAAATCCTTAGAATTTGGAGCTGAAAAGGGCACCCGACTTATAGTAGGATCGACTATTACGCGAGTTTCTACAGTACCACCTTCAAATAGGAATGTACCGGTCAACATGAAAGATAATGAAACCCCTGTGTGGTATGGTACCTTGCAGTACAATTTCAGAGAGATCCATACACTTGAACACAAGTTATTGTCTGGAAACTATAAAAATGTGTTTTTTGGTCCCTTTTTGGCCCCAAATTCCTAAACGTTTAGGGCAATTACCCCCAAACTCAAACCCAGCTTTCCCTTTGTGATATGGAACCTTGTAGTACAATTTCAGAAAGATCCATACACTTACACACAAGTTATTGTCCTGAAACTAGAAAAATGCTTGTTTTTTGCCCCTTTTTGGCCCCTAATTCCTAAAATATTGAGGCAATTACCCCCATCATCAATCCCAGCCTTCCCTTTGTGGTATGGTACCTTGCAGTACAATTTCAGAGAGATCCATACACTTGAACACAAGTTATTGTCTGGAAACTAGAAAAATGCTTATTTTTGGCCCCTTTTTGGCCCCCAACTCCTAAACGTTTGGGTAATTACCCCCAAACTTAATTCCAGCTTTCCCTTTGTGATATGGAACCTTGTAGTACAATTTCAGAAAGATCCATACACTAACACACAAGTTATTGTCCTGAAACTAGAAAAATGCTTGTTTTTTGCCCCTTTTTTGGCCCCTAATTCCTAAAATTTTTAGGCAATTACCCCCAAAATCAATCCCAGCATTCCTTTTGTGATATGGAACCTTGTGGTACAATGTCAGAGAGATCCATACACTAACACACAAGTTATGTCTGGAAGTTACAAAAATGCTTATTTTTGGCCCCTAATTCCTTTACTGTTGGTACCATAATCCCCAAAATCAATCCAAACCTTCCTGTTGTGGTATTGAACCTTGTGGTAAAATTTCATAGAGATCCATTCGCTTAAACTAAAGTTAGAGTGCGAAAACCAATGTGTCTTCGGATGACGCCGGACGACGCCAGACAACAACGACGACGACGACGACGCCAACGTCATACCAATATACGACCACAAAATTTTTTTTGCGGTCGTATAAAAACAGGACCCAAAATTAAAAATCTAAAAACAAGGTTAGATTTGGCATATCAAAGAACCACAATAATTCAATTTTTGATGAAATCAAACAAAGTTTAATTTTGGACCCTTTTGACCTCAATATGAACCAATTTGAAAAAAAAGAAAGAATCTAAATACATGGTTAGATTCAGCATATCAAAGAACCCCATATATTCAATTTTTGTTGAAATCAAACAAAGTTTAATTTTGGACCCCAATTTGGACCAACTTGAAAACTGGGCCAAAAATCTAAAATCTAAACACATGTTTAGATTCAGCATATCAAAGAACCCCAAGAATTCAATTTTTGTTAAAATCAAACTAAGTTTAATTTTGGACCCTTTGGACCTTAATGTAGACCAATTTAAAAAACGGGACCCAAAATTAAAAATCTAAATACACAGTTAGATTTAGAATATCAAAGAACCCCAATAATTCAATTTTTGATGAAATCAAACGAAGTTTAATTTTGGACCCTTTTGACCTCAATATGAACCAATTTGATAGCGGGGCCCACAAATAAAAAATCTAAATACATGGTTAGATTCAGCATATCAAAGAACCCCATATATTCAATTTTTGTTGAAATCAAAAAAAGTTTAATTTTGGACCCCAACTTGGACCAACTTGAAAACTGGGCCCATAATAAAAAATCTAAACACATGTTTAGATTCAGCATATCAAAGAAATCCAAGAATTCAATTTTTGTTAAAATCAAACTAAGCTTAATTTTGGACCCTTTGGACCTTAATGTAGACCAATTTAAAAAACAGGACCCAAAATTAAAAATCTAAATACACGGTTAGATTTGGCATATCAAAGAACCCCAATAATTCAATTTTTGATGAAATCAAACAAAGTTTAATTTTGGAGCCTTTTGACCTCAATATGAACCAATTTGAAAAAAAAGAAAGAATCTAAATACATGGTTAGATTCAGCATATCAAAGAACCCCATATATTCAATTTTTGTTGAAATCAAACAAAGTTTAATTTTGGACCCCAATTTGGACCAACTTGAAAACTGGGCCAAAAATCAAAAATCTAAATACATGTTTAGATTCAGCATATCAAAGAACCCCAAATATTCAATTTTTGTTAAAATCAAACAAAGTTTAATTTTGGACCCTTTGGACCTTAATGTAGACCAATTTGAAAACTGGACCCAAAATTAAAAATCTAAATACACGGTTAGATTTGGCATAACAAATAAATAAATGTGGTCAAAGATTTTACAAATCTAATGCGCCATACTGTGCAATTAAAGATTACTTCTTGAAATTTTTCAATAATAATTATTTGAAATTTGAAAAAAAAATAATATTTGAAGAATAATTCTTTTTAATTTCTGAAATCTGAAATGAGAAAAAATTGACCCCCCACAATTTCTTTTTACCCCCCCCCCCCCTTTTTTTCCCCCAAAAATTCTTTCCCTCAAGATATGGTCATAATCTCCAAATTACCAATGGAGTTTGCAACCATAATTACCCATTTAAATTTTACATAGTGCTTACTTAATCTATTTTATAATAGAATTTAAAATATAGTGTCAAATCTTTCATATGGATTTTTTTGTAAAAAAAAAAAGATGCAACATTTGCAGATATTTTTACTGGTCTTCCTTTATAAATATGCATTTCTTCAAACATAATTTAAAGCAGTGTAAGGGAAGTAACCAAAACGTTGTATTTGGATTACTTCCCTTACACTGTTTTAAATTATCTTAATTGTTCATTAACCATTACTTTATACATAATTTAAAAGCAGTGTAAGGGAGGTAATTTCAATGATGTATTTGATTTATCTCCCTTACACTGCTTTAAATTATGTTTTGTACTAAAGTATTTGTCCATTAACCAGGACAACCTTGTTTTTCCCCCTTTTTTGTCCCTAATTCCTAAACAGTTTGAGCCATAACCCCCCAAAGCAAATCCTAACCATCCCTTTGTGGTATGGAAACTTGTAGTATAATTTCAGAGAGATCCATACACCGTTCCA